TGTATAATCACCTCAATATAGGAATTAGCTGTTTTTATCAACAGACGCCGTGGGTTGCCCTTCCATTGAGGCCGCCATGTTGAACCGCCATGTTGAACCGCCATGTTTCTACGGTAGCCCAGAACCAACAAACCAAAAACTGTTTTTCATGGCCACCGTAGTTTCCCCCCCTAAATTAAATCTGCAACTGCTGCACTAGATGCCATTAAATCCTACACACTGGACCTTTAAATAAATAAAGCTGGTGGTATTCTTATCCCATGAAAAGACCACAACAAAAAACAATATGTTACTCCATCCCTCAACACTTTCTAACTTCCCTAACCTGTCTGTGGCTCTCAGCATGTACAACTACAACAGTTTTCAAAGGCTTAATAAGTTTCTAAAGCAACTGGTCACTGTAGTTTTCAGTCAATGTTACTCAAACAGGAAATATTACATTTGTGAGGGACTATTTCCAGCCACAAATTAATTCACAGTTATGTTAACATCACCTTTAGCTGTGGGAAATTGGCATCTTTACTATTTTCTGCCATTTTGTATACTTAATTTAAGTTTAATCAATGAATTAAGAAAATAATCAGCAGATTGATGTACAGTGCGTGATTTTACACACGGCTCACACAGACGGTACAATTGTTTTGACACTTTGTTTTTGTATGAGCTGTTTCACACAGATTCCAAGATTATATTTTGAGATCAATTGTATAGAGTTTGGCTTTTTTTTTACTTACGACTGCAAATCTCCTGTTTCTAATGGATAATCCAAATAGATTTTGTTTATCAACAGGATTATTCCAGGAAAGGTCAGTCAGTGGTCAGATTGCTTCTTTCCATAGTAATCACAGAGGAGGCATTAATCTAACACGATGTGACTAATAAATATATATAAAGTTAACAGTAATGGAAAACGTTTTTGATTTCAGATCTTGCCTAGGACACCACTCAGTGCCTGTGTTCATCTCAACTCTATAAACAGATATCTGCATAAGAATGCAATGTTTGTAGTCCAAGTAGTTTTGACCCATCAGGTTTACACGCAGGTAAACAGTCTGTCCTATCGGCTATCATTTGACAACAATTTAGCTTTTTATTAGCTTTTTCTTAATTTACCTGCATTCATATGCAGATATATTGTTAAAATCTTGGAACAAAAACCCAAAACAATTGTCTCTCAATATCTGCTGGCTACCCCAGAATCCCAGAAACATTGTACGCCGCACCCAGAGGCTAACTGGAAGTTTTAACTGCCTTTTTTACAAGACCTGTAACATAATACACATCCAGTATGACGTGACACACTGAATGACCTTGTTTACAGTCCCAGACCTCGTCAGGAAGCCATTAACGGCCACAGCAAGATCAATACATTGTGCCATATTGTATGGCATAGTAATAACCAAGCCAGACCTTGGCCAAAGACACAAAGGGGAACTTGTCCATCTCCAGCTGGGTCTCCTCTCCACTCTGTCCATTTAGCTGACCCTTCAGTATTCGAGCAGCCGTCACCGTGGGAACGCCCATTCCTAGATACCAAAAGCAGGTCGACTGTTAGGACTTTTCATTCACTGCTGTGCACAGTTTGCAACACATGAGAGACTTTTGTGTTCTTTAACATTTTAGAACAAGACGACTGCTGTTAGGCAAAACATTTTCTCAGATACAAAATTACATCAACAGATACATAAAACACACACTTAAAAGACAAAGGAGATAGAAAACAAGAAAAAAGAGATAAACAAGCAGACAGTTAGGGTTAGGGGTGATGCCGACTTGCAGGATGATGATGACTTGTTGTTTGGAGGCCGAGAATGAAATGGAAATCTAACTTCCTTTTTTACATGTCTAAACTAAATGCCTGAAATTAAAGATAATTACAGGAAAATACAAGAAGCAGTTGAATATATCCCTGGGTGACTGCTGACCTCATCTTACATGTGCACAGGAAGACAAACAAATTGTGAGGAAAGTACTATTTGCCTCAGGTCTAGTTTTGTAACTCACAATAAGACCGCCCTGCATAAAAAAAACACCTGGCTCAGAGGTCCACAGTGCCACAGTGTTGTGCAACTGAGTTTCCTGGTACGAGGTAGACAATGTCTGGGAAACATTTTCTAATTATTCCCTACTGTGTCTTACCAACTTTTTTTTTTTAGGGCTGTAAGACGCAGCCTGTTATTCTCAAACAACGCTAGCATGGCCATGTATGCAGCTGTGCGCAAGAATGTCATTTCTGTGCCTACTGTATAGTCCAAACAGAGAGAGCAGAGGCCCGATGGAGGATAAAGGTTATTATGCGACCAATGAGCGGCCCAGCACGAACAGAAGCCCAGTGATCTGGTGGAAGCACAGTTGTTTTGTTTGATACTATTCATTCACCTCGTATGTTAGGAAACATTCTAAAAACCTTGTTCATTACCTACTGGATTACTGGATCCTCTAGTCTATAGCATCATTTTAGTTTAAATAAAACTGTTTGCTCAGCTGGGTTGTCCATAATTAATCTTTATCAAAAATTATAATCCACCTTTGTGTGGATTTATGCAGCATTTGGGGAAATTTCATGATTTTTTCCCCCCATAAATCAAGATGTAAACATGATGTTGCTTACCATCTCCAAGGAAGAGGATGAGATTCTTTGCTTTGTTTGTGTTGAGATTTTGAAGCATCAGAGCGTTCTTCAAGGTCTTTTGGGCCCAAGTATTCCAAAACTTGGGATCCTTCTCTTGTTCTGTGTGTGGAAATAAACAAGTTTGTATAGCTTTGGATAGCTAAAGGAATCCACAGATACAGGATTGTCTATAAAATGTCAAAAAAAACAACTTCATGTGTCTTGTTTTATGCATCCGTCCAAAACCCACAGATATTCTGTTTGCTATCATGTATGACAGAGAAAAGGATCAAATCTTCACATGTAAGGCGGAAACCATAAAACTTTGGACTTTTTGCTTTTAAATGACTAAAACAATAAATGAACTAAATACTTAATTGCAGCTCTGTCACCAAATCAGTCAAAACAATCTAAAGCCACATACAATTTCCCATTTTAATAATTGTACACATTTGACTAGGGTTCACCTCATTATAGACCGTGACAACAGAGGTTGCTACACGACAAATACACCATCTATCTCAGCAGCAGATCAGTCCTACATAAACTGTAATTAAACAGTGAGTTCCTGTTATGTTCCTGGCACCACCAAACTATCAACTATTCACTGTTTTAAAAAAAAAAACAGGATATCTGTTGTATAGCAAACTTCCTTACATGGTACATACAAACATTCTACAACCTTGAAACCCTCCAGTGTGTGCTGAACGTGTCCAGATGGCTGGACAGTTGTTGGTATCGACTAGACTCCCTAACAACACAGTAACTTACCAGGGAATTGTGGCTTCCCCAGACTCCCCAAGACCAGACAGGAGCAAATGATGAGCAGGTCTGTCACCTTCATGTTGTCGTCTCTGCGCGGCTGACGTGTCACTCTAGACAGCCATAACATGTCACTTTGAGAAGTTGAAGAAGCCTGTCTGCAGTCGCGCGTCGCAGCTAGCGGGAGAAACAGAAGACACTGGCAATTAAGTCTGTGTCATCTCGTCATACACTGACTCTGACATACTGGTTTAATATATATTTACCCTGTGATGATTTGCCTAAGCATGCTTGTTTCAGGCAAACAACACACTTCTTGCTTGCGCTGTAACGCTTCAAATATCCACTCTGTAAGGGGCTTATACAGTCATAGGCTCATCCTGTTGAACCGGCAGTGTGTTGGTTCTTTTCTTAGTGGGATCTTAACAGGAATTGAGAATCCCTTCTCTCATATCTTTCCTAATAAGAAACGGTCAAACTAAGGTTGTGTGGGGAGGCAGAAAGCACCAGGAACATTCAACCATTTGATCAAGGCTGTGTTGATAAAAATGATTTCTTTTGTGTTGTTGAACCTGGTGTCAGTCGTAAAAAATTGGATTTCAGCCCACCATCAGGCTTTGCAGCAGAGACAAAAGCAGAGCTTGGTAAAGTTAAGCTGGAGACCTTGCTGTGAATGTAAGTAGTCACAATAGGGGCCCTTATGGGTCCCAGCCAGTCAGGCTTTCATCTATAATTATCCACACCCTCCTACTTTCTTCCCCGTGCTTATAGTCAAGGTCATTTTAATGGGATTGAGCTCCATAGCACTGAGAGGTTTAAGGGCCATAATAAAGCCGATTAACACCAAATGATTGACTGGACACGTCCACCATGAGGGAAAAAAAACCTCAAGATACTAACACTTATCTCGCAAAAACCTTTCACCTGTGCAAGTCTGACAGGAGGATGGATTGGGCTTGAATGCAAACATTTATAATACGCTACCCTCCAAATATGTCAGATTGCATTATATAGTTATATTGATAACTATTTTGTTCTTTCCCCATCAAGCTCTGGCCTGTTGAAACTTCGTTGACACGCAACCATATCTTTGAACCCCACCTTGTATTACGAACTATAATGAAACTCCTCAAGCAGTTTGAAAAGATTGCCTAACCAACAACTCCGAAAGCCTGTTCAGACTGGAAACTATGCCAGCTTCCATCTGGGTTGATAAAAAGATAAAGGCAGGTCTGAACCAAACCGACTAAATCAAAGCGTAAAAAGAGAAAGTACAATATCAACCGAAGATTAAATGCCAGAAACCAGTTGCTTTTACCATCCCCCAAGATGCATGGAGGCCAGCGGTAGCCTCCTTAAAAGCGGCCAGGTCCTCCCATGGAAAGTGACCCAGCCAGTCTGCAGGTAAAGAAGCAAAGCAGTGCCACCACGGCCATCAGCAGGACGCCAGTCAGGGCAGTGGTCAGTATCACGTGAAATCCCACTTCAGACATGGTGTCAACAAACATTTGGCTGCTCCAACGTATCCCAGCTGGTGTCAGTTGGGGTGAAATTTCCCCGGAGTAAGTTAACTTCGGGCTCTTGTCGCGCTGCCACTGAAGCCTGAAGCACGTCACTTGAATGTGTCACTCCAGCAGGTAGCAGCTCCATAGCAGGGATAAGGCTTTTAATTACGCTCAGATGTTTGGAAGGGGCTGATAGATAGAGGCTCCACAATGTTTATATGAAAACCTCTACTGTGCCTGGTTTTCAGACAGAATAGATTGTGTTATCTCCTCTGTCTCTTTTCACTCTGACTGGAAAAGACACTAAACCCAGTTCCCAGTTTTTAAATAGGCAACTTGGTTTTCTTCTCACACCAGGCTGCGTCTTCCAGCCTCTTGTATGCAGACAGAATAACTAACATTTTAACTGAATTTCACACCAAGGGGGACATGTTTCTTCTCCCTGCTGTTCTTTATTTCTGCCTTGCCTTTGTTTGACCAAAGTGCCTGCCTTATGAGTATCCTGTTTTCCTGTCAAAGCACTTTCTAAAATCAGTTTTTAAAGGGTGCTATATAAATAAAGTTATTATTATTATCTGACTTATTGTATTTTTTATCTATTTGATCAAAGATCTGTGTGTGTGTGATCACTATTTATGACTATTTTGCCAAATAAAAGATAATAAAACCTATTTTATAATCACTGTGTGAGGAACTTTGGTTAAAAAACAATTGTTCATGACCAAAAAACTCCAATAAAAAAATTTAAACCACGCCACATTATGTCATTAAAAACCCCAAATGACATATAAATCGGTACAGAACTGCATTTTACTGCAACCCCCTTATACATTTATGGGATGAGGAACCCGATCACTTGGACAAATCTCCAACTGGCTAAATGACTTTTAAGGTTTCTATCAACAATTACAACATAAAATCCTGCATGATTTATTAATGAATGGATTTAAAACTGAAGCCCACCAAGGAACCAGCCCTTTAATCCTAGTGGGGGAAAAAAGCTGGATACTAACAGAGCTGGTCTCGGTGCAACAGTTGACCAAAACACTCTTTTTATCTCTGGCTTTATTTGACATCGCTTCAGAACAAATATAAACTCGGCAGCAATATTCAGAACGGATGCTGAAAAGAAAAAAATGCAAACAAGCTGTCACTAAAATATCAGCCGACCCTCCAGCGTTTTCTCCAAAAGCAACATGTTATATCTGTATAAAACAAGCAAAAAAAAAAACAACCAAAAAACACCCCTAAAAAAAAAGTTGCATTGTTTTACTTACTGCAAGTGCGTTTTCGAGGGATAGAAATCTACATCCAAATGTGGCTGCAGTTCATTCAGTCCTTCACCTTGAAAATGTGTGTCCTTGTCGGTGCTTTCAGTCGCTTTTATAAGGCCACACTTGTTCGACTCTGGCTCTGGGGATCTGAGAATAGCGGTCTGTATCCCACGAGGGGGAGAAAAAAAAAAACCCCTTAGAAATAATGATGCCATGCTGCTGCTGTGAGAGTAGATGGACCGAGAGCTCCGCCTGTCTGACGACCGATGCGTTGCTTCAAGGGCAGGGAAAACTATAGTTACACTGTAATTAAGTAGTAGGTGGAAGTATTCAGATACTTTAAGTAGCAATTATTCAATAAAAAATATAAGTACTGCATTCAAAATGTATGTATAAGTACAGAGTTAGTATCAGGAATATGTGCTTAAAGTAGTGTACTGATGTATTAAGATGTAGGCTTTACAGGGATTTAATGCTTAGTTTGTTGAGGTGGAGCTCATTTTAACTATTTTTTTAAATCATATAATGTCATATAATGTTTATTATTAGTGACTAAAGTATATATCATGGACCAGTTAGTATGCAATACTATATACTTATAATATGGCACTTTAAAATACACAAAAATAAATACAAAACAGCAAAAAACACTCAACAAAGGAAATACATACAAAACTAACAATTCAAAAAGACAGCAAACCATGATAAAATAGAAATACCATAAAACTCAATAACAAGCACAAAAACAAACATAAAAATGCATCATAACTTATACACCTCATGTGTTTTGAATATAAAAATCTGTAAAGAAACTATATATAAATGTAAACATGTGTGAGTAGCTGTATCTATGGTAGCAGTGGCACCATGAAATGTAATTACTCAAGTACAAGTCTCTCAAAATTGTATTTACCGTAAGTACAATACTTTAAATGTAGCCTACTTAGTTACTAACATTTTGGTTCAGTAAATCCTTGAAAAATCAGTAAATAGTTACTATAGTCTGATTTTATGGACTCACTGTCTAATGGATTGGATTAGGCTCATTGCTGTTTACTGTGGCCTCCTGTCACTGTAAGGCCTATAAACACTTCTAGGTGAAACCATCTAAATTGTAATGTGGGATACAACATCTACAGCCCTATTTTCTTGATTTGACTGATTATTAAACCTTTTAAACCCGCTATCTTCTTTTAAGATCAAACGTGATGGATTTTTGTGTTATGTGCGAAGCCTGCCTCTATAGGCTATTTTCGATCGCTTTTAGACCCAACTCATCCTACGTTCTTTTAAAGTATTTAATGGTTTTTCTGTCAGGAAAATCAATATTACAGAGCAAAAAAAAAACAGAATCACTAAAGTCAAGAGAGTGCTTTTTACTGCAAAGTAGGGCTTCTGCTTTTTCCCCCTCTTCAATATATAGTAATGATTCTGCTGGGAGGTTTATTTTAAGTTTAAAATGCTGGCAATTACTGATTCACTTTGATGTGTCTGTGGGCCTTCACAGCGTACAGCGAAACTGCTGACAACTTATTAACTTAGCTAGCCAGACAGTCATTAATGACCACTGAACTTTTATATACCAGTGGTTGCCAACCTGGGGGTCTGGACTCCCAATAGGGATCATAAAAGCCTCATGGGGGGTTCGTGAGGCCTTCTTGATTTTAAGATTACTTTAAAAAATATATACACAGTATGCTTACATCTCAGTAAATTGTCAAATAGAGCGTAAGGGATAAGAAAACATTGAATTTGTCAAAAAAAAAGAAGACTTTTAAGTATGTATGATTGTTAAAGATGGACGTGGAAGTTTTCGAAGCAGGAAATAATCAGCTCGAAATTAATCCAAATCACTCCTTTTGCAGTTACTGAGTTCCAAATTTGGATTAATTGTATATTTTTTAATATAACATGAAATAGCCATAAAATATATCACTTAAGTTTAAGTTAAGTTCAGTTTACTAAATGACAGGAAAGGGGACACTAAGGTAACCACTGTGCTTTATACAGTCTACCCTAACAGCTCAATGTGCGTAGACAACGTTTGAATTTTAGTTAGTAACCGTTGGCTGCCAACTGGTGAAAATCAGGATAGCTCATATTTATTTATTTAGTATTATATTTATTAACTGTATTAACTGTGGGTCACCTAGAGTTAGCCAGGTTAGTTGTAGTAGCTGGTACATATTATCAGGTGGGAGATATCAAAGTGTGTTTAAAAATAAGGCAGCACATTCAGAAGTGAGGTAGAAAAAGAAAATGAACTCTTTGTTCAGTCCAACCAGTTAGGTTTATAAAATGTTGAATAAAAACATGGCAGCTTTTGTCACACTAAACGTTCAGAGACTACACATCCGGAGAGATTGTATTACCACAACAGCGCCTCCTACTTAACGCTACGGTGTTTTTTATTTATTTAGTTTTATTTATTTTTTTTAGGAACCTTTTTACCACGAGTGGGAGCTGATTTCCGGGGTAGCGGAGCAGCGGAGACAGTTTGAGAGGGATGTGAACTATCTTGACAGCGAGGCGCGGTGTCTTTGGTTGTTGTAGCTGAGGCTCACTCACTGTCCCCCGGCCAGAAAACACACCGGAGTCACGGCAGTGGCGGCGGACCATCTCACTGCAGGGTAAGAAACACGACTGTCAACTATCCTCCGTTTAATGTGCTGTTTAAGTAAAACAAACGTTTAAGTAAAATTATCTTTTTTTTTTTTTTTCTTTTTTAAATTGAGGAGGACGACACAACATCACATGTGTTCAATTCTGCGCTGGGAATGGTTGTTTTCAGGCGTGTTTGTAGTTGTTTACATGACACTTAAAATGTTTGTCTTCACTAAATTGAACTAAAACTAAAATGTTTTTCTTCCCTTAAGCTAAAAATGTAATTCTGTGATTGTATATCTGTATAAAAACAACGCTATGTAAAGTTGTGTTTGGTTGTATACAGGACATTGTTTGGGAGTTCACTGACCTTTTTTTTTTTTTGTAGCTTTACTGTTTTAATCTCATGTGAAATCAGTGTTTTATTCTACTTTTCTAAAAATATAGTAGCACTCCTTTTCAGGTATCTCTTGCATTTTTTACAAACTTCCACTCCAGCTCAACTTTGACACCCTTAAAGTTTCCCCATCTGAGTTTCACAGACTCAGACGTCTCTCAAGTGAGTCATATAGTCATCAGATTAACTCCTCTACCACCTAAAAGTCCTAAAAGTCTGACATTTCAGTCATTTTCACAACAATTCAGCCTGTATGTTGAATCAATCCAGCAGCTGCAACCAAAAAAAACACCAAACAGTAGCCAAAATGAGTGTGTGTGAGCCACAATACAGTTGTGTGTTTGCATTCTTGATTTAATGGTTGCAGTGGCATGAGATTAATATTTACTTTCACTGTCCAAATGTTAGCTTGGTGTGTGAGCTCATTTATCTTACTTGCAGAGAGTGGGTGGGAGAGGGGTTTGTAAGCAAGGACATGAAAGACATCATCAATCAAAAATATCTTTTAAGCAAACACTAAGTTTGGAAGATAAACCAGCTCAGAAGGTCGATGGCAGATGTTAAACGCCAGCTGCTGGTTTGGTGTTCTACCTATAAGTGAGCTTTAAACACATAATGAGGGATCATGTTGTTGATCAGGGTAAAGAAAAAGGACGGTGGCATGTGGTTTTATAGCAAAACAGATGTTACAAAGAGCTTCACAGGATGAAGAAATCCTAGTTTACAGTATTAATAAAGCCAATTTATAGCCAAATTATGGATTTTGTCACTGTAAAGTCAACTGCACAAGACATGAAGTCTCTTGTTATCGCAGACAGGCAGATGTCTTCTCTGTGTCATTGTTTTTCTTTCAGTCGAGGTCTATTTCTGCTTTATTATGTCTTGTTCCAACTCACAAAGAAGTTTAAATGCCCGGTGCTGCAAATTCAAACCAGTACGCCTGCTGGGTTAAATATTATTAGACGATCACTGATTGTACGAGCTAATGCCCCGAGCGATTGATTGGTTTGATAGCATAACGCAGGCTCTGGATGTGCTGCACTCGGGAGAGCCTTGGTTTACTCTGCAAGTTATTCATTACCTAGGTGTGATCGCGAGTGTGCTGCAGGGCGCCATAACAACAGCAGGAACAGGTAATCTCCTGTTATCTGTCTGTGCCTTGGCTGAAAATCTCATTGTCTGCAAGCTGCAAGAATCCAAACTAGGAGCTCTGCAAGAAAAATGAGAAAATCGACAGTTATTTTGAAATCTATCATTATATATAATCTTGTCATGTGAATATGTGGTGTTATGGTGGTTTTAGGGCACTGTGCATGCTCTGGTGGGCTGATTGAACATAACACTTTGTCTGTTTGTGGATGCTATAGTGCCTGATGGTGAGCCAAGACCCAACTGGGTGATATTTGATCATTGCACATACGTCAGAGTAACTGAAACGTGCACAGAAGAATAACTTCGAGTACTCTGGCGAGCAGTAATCTGAAGAATTTCAGAGCTGCAGCCTGCATATTAATAACCATGTGAGAGAAACTGCAAGCTCTTTCTTTTATTTGCATGACTAAAAATAAATCTAAAGTGTTGATTACGGTAAACGTCCCTCGGCTTAGTTTAAACAATCCTACTCCGGAGCAGGGAAAAGCCGATTTCCTGTGAAAGTAGCTTTTTTTTTTTTTACAAGTTTTTTTTGTGTGTTAACGCTTCACTATCAGGGTGTTTTCTCCAAAAGGAAACATCTCTGTGCTGTGGAGAGAAAAGAAGTTTCCAGTGCTGTTCTGACATGGAGAGGTCATGAGCTAAAGCCTGAGACAACTTTGTCTTATCTGTGGCCTCCAGGCAGAAACACAGGGGGCTGAACACGAAAGATAACGCGCCAGAGCCGAAGTGGCCAGCGTCTGCGTTTATGAATGTCTGCGTGTTGAGTCATCACCCCCCATTTGTTTTGTGTGCCGCATTTGATATGTGTACATACTACAGTCGACGTACAACAAGCACATATTGTACACGGCACAGGGTCGAGACTGTGCATGCAGTGCATGGCAGCCTGTGTCACCGCAGTAAACAAATAAATAATATAGTAAACAACCTGTTTACCCTCAGGTGAGATAATGCTGAGTCAGGCTTATCTTGTTGTGGTGAGTAAGTAAGTGTGGTCGTGTTTACATTCGGCGTCGTGGTATTCCTGGAATGTTTTCGCAACCTCGCCGTTCTCCTCTGAGACTCACAGACGGAGTAAAGGTCGCTTTGCGCCTGGAAGAGGAAGAGGAAGAGGAAGAGAAGTTTTTGCCGCAGTTGCTCTTTGCGGGCAGTCTCTGGGTGACAGAGAGGTTACGGCATACTATCGGAAGCTGAAAAGCAGAAGTCTTGATTTCAACAGAAACGGCTCCAATCACGGAGGTCAAGTCCACTTGTCGCGCAGAACACGAGGATTAGATCGTCACTTAGATTGGTGTGTAGTCTTTAATTACTGTTCCTCTGTGGTCTGAAACCACATCTACACCGAGCATCTGACTGGCTTACCACGGTGGTTGACTGAGCCGCCTTTTTTTTTTTTTTTTTCAGACGCAAAACGTGTTTACTGCCAGCTTGCGTCAAACGCGGCCATAAATCACCTGCAGTCTCCTTCCTTCCACTAACGTCTTGTCAGCTTTTCTTTTTCTCTCTTTTTTTTTTTTCTGCCATAAATTCTGGTTCCTGTTCTCATATTTCTCTTCAGAAACAAACTGTCAAACACTACTCACTGTCAAACAAACGCGGCACCCAATCCCAAACACAAACACGCTCCAGTTATTCTTGGAGGAATGCCCCCCCGACCACAGCGCTACAAATAATCGTCTGGTTTGCGGGATCAGTGACGAATTACTGACGCATGTTTGTGGTTTTACGGCCTTGTGGCCTCACGCCGTTTCCAAGAATCGTGGGATTGTGACCCCTCATACTATCAGCTTTACTTTGGGAAGACTTCTTCACGCCCCTGTGGGACACAATGGGATATCTGCAGTAAAGCAGAACCACAACTGACCTTGACCACAGGCTGTTATGATGAGCATTACTTTGTATTTTCAAATGGCTCCCAGTTGCAACTTAGCGTGACTTCCAGAAAGACGTAAGGGCATCAACAGGAACTCCTCAGTAGGTTACAGTTTCTGCAGATGTTATTCGACACAGCTCTCACCTCCCTGCCAGTGCAGCAGGGTATAGCACACCGATGACCTCAGGTTTGAAACATTTATTGTAGTTGCTAGTTTGAGGATTATTCCTATGAGGATACAGCGTGGGATCTTGAGTCAGTTACACAAATTCATAGGCATATTTCCTAACTAAAGGCTTATATTAGTCACCAAATATCATTAGCAGGAAAGGGAAAGCAGTGTTGTCACTAAGAAGGGATTTGGCTAAGGCAGACGACGACGGGGGGGGGGTCAATCTGTGTGGCAACATGTGCCAGCACATCTGCACAGACCCCAATGCCAGGAAAGTGTTCAAAAACAGCGAATGTGTGCTGAGGAATGTGTGTGTGACAACAACACGGTCTGTGCAAGTGGATACCGCTATTTGTTGCTCTGCATTGTGCTCCACAGGAAACCACGCGATTAAATCAGGGGTATTTTCTGGCATGTAACACTTTTGTTAGGTAAAATTCAGTTTGACTCAATTCAGTAGGCGAAACCCTCTTGTTTTGTTAAATTGAACAGCTGTGTTGGTTAAATATTGAAACCAAATGCAGTGTATGTGTGCGTGCAGGGAGAAAAAAGTCAAACATCAATGTCCCCATTAGGCCCCCTTTTTTTGCTTGCAGCTATAGGTCATTTGAAGCCATTTGTGTAATTGAAAGTGTCCTAAAAACAATTGGTGACCTCTTACTTCCCTCCCCCCCCCTCCCTTTCCATCTCTCATCACTTTAGTCCTCCATCTTTTGTCCCAGCAGTCCTTTTATAAGCCGATAATGTGACTTGGTTTCTGGGTTTAACAGAGTTTTAAAACACACAGGAAGGCGTTGGACCTTTTTGTTGTATGATTATATTTTGTTGTTTTTTGTTTGTTTATTAGAGTTAAGATAAGGTTAACGGCAGTCTCCTCCCTCTTTGTGTTACTGAGGTTGATTTGAGGCATCTTGTCTGTTAGAAAACAAGATTTAACAGGAATTTCTGCTCTCTGTTTTGCCTGGAATTCTCTGGAATGCTTGTGGTGGGAACGTTTTTTTTTCTTTCTCCTCTCGGTGGTATGTTTACGTGAAACAAGTGGGGAAATAAAATAAAGCGTGGATCTGCGACTGGGTTTGCCATCCTTATGTTTCCAACGAGTTCTAATCTGTCTTCATCCAGTAAACATTTATCTTCAGTCACTAGTTTTGGTTTGTGCTGAGTGGATGTCAACAGGGGAAGATGCAATCCAGAGCATGAAGGTGAAAGTCCAGAAAGGGGGTTGCAGCGTTTGACTGCAGCTATTAGTCTGGCTGCAGGTCTGATGTGTGTTCGCTGTGTTTCAGTTGGCAAAAACACACAGTCAGGATTTCATCACCCCTGCAGTGAACTCCACTGTGTTGAGCAATGAGCCGGTGTCTCTGCCAGACTGACGGATGAATAAGTTAATCATTACCCTCTTTACGGTTCTGTAGTGCAAAGACAATCAGATGAAAGCATGCTTCAGTAGTGCTTCGTGTTTTCAGCCGTAAAACCTTTTTGTTTACCAGTTTGTTTGACCATATAAATTAAATTATAAAGTTATATTATTTGATATTAAAAACTTACTGTTTTAAAAAATTAGCTAATAAACCTTCAACAGCATCAGAAACATGAATAACTTAGATTATGTTGTTGTCCCCGCATTAAACCATCTGTCTATCAATGTTTGAGCGATAGCAAGTTCTAATTTTTGTCTTAAAACTGATTGAACCGTGTTTTTTTCAGAAAAAAACAGACACTTTTTTGAAACTGAAGACATTTGGTGTTAATTAAAGATTTAAGTTGGATTATACGGTGTATTTATGTGTAGGAGTTAGATTTCCTTTTCCTTTGGCGGTGTCAAATATGACAATTTAATGAACTCTTTACAGTCTCATTAAAAGCTGGGTGGTACACGACCAAAATACGATGCACATGTTTGGTGTAGATTGCCGTAACAACACACACACACACACACAAGGAGGGGTTACAACCAAGCCTGAGAGCTCACGTCGCTTGGACCAGACCTATTGATATGTTGACTGATCAATTAATCAGTTCATGTCCAAGCTTATCACTAATATAGAGGCCAGAATGATGGCATCTTACTGGGCTGAGGAGAAACCATTTAACTGGTTTACAGATTGTATTTTTAATTATGCTGTATGCTACATATGCAACCAATCTTTTATTTCTATTAATCCCATTTAATATTCATCCCAGGGCAGTTATTCTTCAATAGTTTCATAAGGATGATTCGGTTGGCTGTGCATTGTTGCAGTATGGGTTGAAAACCTGAAACGAATGATGTATTGAATTGCTTTTAAACTTGGGACTGAGATAATTGTTTTTCTTTTTAAATATTAGACATTTAAAAATATACGTTGTGAAGAAAATCCTGTGTCCTGCATGGATGTCATATTTAATAGAGGTGACACACATTTTAGTTTACTTTTTTAAACCTATATCTATTATATCACACAGGTTTTTAATACCTTTAATGAGGAGTAACGTATATAAAATGCAGTGTTTGTAACGTGCGGTAGCGGCCCTGTGGGTGAGGGGTTAAGAGGAACTGACTATCAGGTAACGGTTACCACGGGCAACGACTCCAAGCATGTGGTGGGAGGAGGGTTGTGGTCCGAGCCCCTCCCCCGAGTGCATCATGTCCTATAGAGAAGACACTGGGTGTGAACTACAACTGTGAGGTTCCCTCCCTAAATCTAAGTGAAACCACATTGGGGAATGCACTCACACACTCCACACACACACACAATTGCATATTCACTTCCACCCAGTCTCAGTCATGTAAGTCAGTGCTCCTTCCTGTTTCTTACTCGTTCCGTCTTTTCTCTCGTGCCGTGTTTGCATACACAAGGCTGAAGGAGGAAGTACAGGAAAAGGTTGCCTAGAAGTTTAGTTTAAAGAGGAAGACCGGACCCACAAGGAGATCTCACAAGGACTTTCGGGAGGAGTTTTTTTTTTTTTGTTGGTGTTGTGACGACGCCATGGGGTCCGTGAGAGGTGTTGTTGGGGTTGAAAGGAGCAGAGAAGTGCTTTTGAAAGGAGAGGACTGCCACATTCTTTGAAAGTCAAGTCGGTGTTTGAGCGGAAGATCTCCCAACCAGACGAACCAGATACCTCCTGATGTATTTTAGAGGGAAACCCTAACCCTGAAGCCTCCTCAGACGCTGCTGAGGAATAGACGTTCACCACAAACACTCTCACACACGTGAGTGGGAGCGGACAGAGAGAGAGAGGGGGATAGAAGGAACATGGAAGCACTGAGAGAGTCTTTTCTGCATTTAACTTTTCAGATGTCAACGTATAAGAGAGCCACACTGGATGAAGAAGACCTGGTGGACTCCACCGGTGACGACATCTACCCATCATCACCTATGCAGGTAAAACACCCTGTGCTGAAATTAAACTAATGGGTTGCTGTCAGTAGATAGATAGATACTTTGTTTAT